TGTATCCTATATTGAGTGAGTGAAACTGATCAGTTGTTTGTGATGAGTTGTCATGTTTTAGTTCCTTATTTGTCTGTATGTAGGCCTATACACAGTCGTGAAAAACAAAGGACATCCTATTGAATTCCATGGTTTTCTTTATCAAGGCATTAAAAATTAAATAAATCATCTGGTCCTTGGCAGGTCTTTAAATTTGGAAAATAAAACCTCAGTTAATGAAAAAATAAGTGTAATAATTGGAGTAATAATTGGCAACATTTTAATAATAATATCTAATATTTCATAGGAATATTGATGTATAATTTATTTCCATATTCACTTGTTGTGTCTCCCAAAATGCCTGATAAACATGATTTAAGTCCTGATGTCCTCTACAGTGGACATGTATGAAATCAATGCCCTGTTCTGTAACAGAAAGTCATTTTTTGATTTGAAACCCTATAATGTTTTGACATAACGTCTGAGATGTTGGTTAATACAATTTGAAAAGTAGTCCGATTTAAATTATAATTACACAGATTTGAAAATTCCATTGGCTAATTACAGGGCCTAACGTTAACCCAACTGATGGAAATAAATAATAACTGAACTTGTAACAGTTTTGTTGCAAAGCACAATATTATGGTGAAATGAGATCTCGTGTTTGTTTAGTTAAAACCGAATTATTGTTGTATAGGTAGCAAGCATCATAGCAAAAAGGCTAACAAACTTAAGAGTTATACCCACCAATTAACATTAGCCCTTCATTCATGACATGGATACCGTAATAATCATACAGAGAGAACATAGTTGCATACCTTTATCTTTTGCTCGTTTCTCCTCTTCTTCTTTTCTAAATTGGGCACCTGATGGCTTTTTCCTTTCCTTGTCCATCTCTGTTTATTTGGCACTCGACAATCAACAGATTTCCCATCCCCCCAACACTGTCACTCACGACCAGAAGTCAAGACTAAACCAATTCACCTTGGTGACCACATAATCGTTTTGTATTACCTGTTTTTATTAGCCATTTCACACAATTCAGAAAAACTAAAATGTGCAGGAACTATAGGCCTGTATTTATAATATTCCACTAATTCCATTAGAGTATTGCTCTATACCAGGGGGTGGCGAACTCCAGTCCTGGAGAGCCGCAGCCCTGCAGAGTTCAGCTCCCCCCCCCCCGCCCCCCATACATGACTAGATTAGGCCTATGTCTTACAGCTTTACTTGGTTGCTTTGGTGCATTCCTCAAATCATCCTTAGTTCAAGTGTTAGTTAATTACTAAGTGTTAGTTATATAATTAATTACTCACTCTTGTGTTGTTCCAAAACCGTAAGACCTTCGTTCATCTTCGGAACATTTTATGAAGCTATGAGAATACTTTTTGTGTGCAAAGAAACTTGGGGGAGAAGAACAGTTGAATGAACAGTTTATTTATTTTTTTTTTTGCATAAAAGCACATGGTTTTTCTACCGTTTCTTTTGTTTGCTTCTGTTGTATCTTTTGGAAACCTGAATAAATCAGTTTGGATTAAGAAACAAGAAGATACGTGTAGATGCTTTACTGACAGATTTTCACCAAACGATGGAATTTAAAACTGCATCACAAAAAATATACCGGCTGCATGCGTCCACATAAAAACAGGAAATGAGAAGAGTGCAGATGAAAACACTAGGCAAGCATTTTTGGCTTTCAGATATATATATTCTGCTTCCTCGTTTCTAAAAGCAGATACATTTTTTTTAGGCATTCTGTCCCCAAGACTTAACTATTAAATGTAATGCTTTATAGTTATTTTCTTATACTTTTTTTTTTTTTTGTGACTTTGTTTTGTTCTATGACTTTGTATTTTGTGAAGGTCAGCAATCTTCTTCTGCACATAAGAACTATATTCTTAATTTTTTCTCATTGTGGTGGATGGTTAAGGGAATTTGGCCTTTATGTTACATCATATTCATTCTCATGTGAAACAAAGTCATGGCTGAACATTTTCATGTTCCTAGTCACCCTGGTGTGCTGAAAATTTAAATATGAATGGGAATATAGATCTTCAGAAATGTTACTTTTAATATATTTATTTCAATAAGTTCTAGGTGTACAATTATTTTCATAATGGTTTTTTATTGAAAAGTTACATTTTTGTGAATTTTTATTTTTATTTTTAAATGAAAGATCAAAACGATAAACAATACAGATTTATTTTCACAACCTTCATTGATCATATTTACTTAGGGTGCCAATAATTCTGACCACGGCTCACTCTCTCTCTCTTTAGCCTACATAAAACAGCTGCACTATAAATATAACATAAGTAAAAAATAATAAAAATGTTGCAAAACTTACAACAAATGATTACAACAAAGTTTCCTCTTGTTCAGTAAAGTTTTTTTTTTATGGCAGTCTTTTTTCTGTTGCTATTATTTTCATTGGATTTGCTTCTCAGTTCCATAATTCCTTTCATGTTTTATAGGCAACCTAATGTTAATTCAGATTAGCACAGTTGGTTTTAAATTAATCTAGTTTATTTTACTTCAGAACTCCATAGTCCAGGAGTTAGTGATCTGTTCTTAATCTATATTTCAGAAAAGAACATGATTAACCCTAACCCTAACCCTGAGCATGATTAACTATTCTAGATTAAGGCCTACTCCTGGCTTAATTTAAACCCTGTCTGGGAAACCACCCAAATCAGTATTAAAAAAAAGAAGTAAACTTAGTTTGACTTTCCATGGTACTTTGAAGTAGAAAAAAAAAACTGAAGGTTTTGAGTTTGTAGTTAAAATCCAGTTCCATAGTGGCCAAACTTGATGACAGCCGTTTAAACTGACTGTGCAGTAAAGTGAAGTGAAGAAGACATGTGACACGTGACATGTGGCCAAGTATGGTATGACAAATAGTGTCATACCATAGTATGACCAACCATACCATAGTATGACCCATACTTGGAATTAGTGCTCTGCATTTAACCCATCCAAAGTGCACACACACAGCAGTGAACACACACACACCGTGAACACACACCCGGAGCAGTGGGCAGCCATTTTTTGCTGCAGCGCCCGGGGAGCAGTTGGGGGTTCAGTGCCTTGCTCAAGGGCACCTCAGTCGTGGTATTGAAGGTGGGAGAGAGCGCTGTACATTCACTCCCCCCACCTACAATCCCTGCCGGTACGAGACTCGAACCCGCAACCTTTGGGTTACGAGTCCGACTCTCTAACCATTAGGCCACGTTGTTATGATGTTAATCCCCTAAACAACAATTACTGATGCTTAGGCTATATGATTTATAATGTCTTAAATTGCATTTAATGGACGTGATATGTGAAAAATTGAAGGGGGTCTGAATACTTTCCGTACCCACTGTGTAATAAATGCATTGTGAAGTCGCTGACTCTTGAGTTTCTGCAGAAACACCTCTGCATTGACTCCATGACTAAATAATATATTGAAATATCCAGAACGTATATCAAATGAAAAACAAATACATAATACTAGGAACAGTTTCAGCGTGGTTTATTTGTTACACTACATCTCTATATTAAATGATTAGTTAGCTAAATTTTGAAAAAAAAAAAAAAATCTCTGGATGAGACTAAATAAATGTAATTACCAAAAGAAAAAAAAACAGCAGATGGAGATCATGCATCAGTACTTTACTGCTATTCCTGCAGGTAAAGCGAAATAAAATGGACTGAAAATTGCCTGCTGAGTATTTTAGGTTGTATTGTTGAACAGACTGAACATTTTGTACGTGTACTTTGGAAGGTGAATATGGATTATTGAATTTTTAATAATGAAAATGTGTGTGAAATGTTTTGAATTGAAAGCTTCACAACTTAAATATACAACCATGTTAAATTTCAGTCCCTAAAAATGCAAGCACTGTTAATTCAATACATTTCTTTTCATTTGTCATTATTTCACTTACTATAGTGAGTGACACAAGGATCACAGGAACACTATAGATGATCCTGTGATCTTCTCTCAGCTGTTAATCTGCAGTAATACTGATGATCTCCAGTAGAGAGCGACACAATACTGTCTGATACACTTTTATGTATGCAAGTAGAAAGCATTTTCTTTCTGATGGCTTGCTTCTTGCGTCAGACCAAGGCTGCATCTCATTGCTAGTTTTACTTGATCTTAGTGCTGCGTTCGACACTATAGATCATGACATACTCATAGATCGATTACAATACTATACAGGTATTCAAGGGCAGGCTTTAAGATGGTTTAGATCCTACCTGTCCGATCGCTACCACTTTTAAATACCACTCAATTATCACCAGTAAAGTATGCAGAGCCACAAGGATCTGTCCTAGGTCCTCTGCTATTTTCAATATACATGTTGCCCCTTGGTAATATTATTAGAAAATA